TCGGTTATGACTGTCCTTTACCCTAATGCAAGTCAGGTCTACCACGTTGGATCTGGCTCTTGCTTTATTTGAGCGTGTTCTTCAGTCTGTACCGAATCTGTGGAGACAAAGAGTATTTGGCTGCTTTTAGACAATACTAAGGACACTGAAGAACAAGAGACATGGAGATCTTATATTCTGTTTCTCCAAAGATTAACAAATCAGAAGGGCTGCTAAGTTTCCCTGATGCTAATACTGCTATTTTGATAAGCTCCGAAAGAGTAGCTTAAAAAAAGAAAAGCAGCAAATGGGACCTGATTCACAAAACACACTGAACCTAAGACAGGTGACAATTTAAAAATGGGATACCAGCCAACCCATATATTAATATTTGTTCACTGATTCATAATTAGAAAAGCTAGCAAGATTCTTTACAAAGAATGTAAAACTGATTTTACTTTATTTTTAGCTTCATGGACATGGCATACTTATTCAAATAGCAAGTGCTTTCTTCTCATTAGGTCACAGATCCTTACCTTCCTCCACAGATACTTGTACTATTTGGTCCGTTTCAACTGGCTCTAGAAGAAAATACATACAGATATTTGTATTAATTCTATATTGGTAGCAACTTTTATCAACATGCCTTGTCAATGACTGTAGCCTTTGAATGACTGTTTCTACTCTATACAGAAGTCTCTAATGCCTCTTTTATAAGACAAGAGCATCTAAAACTACATCATTCTATTTCTACCACAATACTGCAGTGGAGGGTTTTGTTATCTACTCCCAACATAAATAAAAATTAGAATACATTGAATTAACATAATAATAATAATAATAATAATAATAATAATAATAATAATAATAATAATAATAATAATAATAATAATAATAATAATAAGAAGAAGAAGAAGAAGAAGAAGAAGAAGAAGAAGAAGCACATGAAACTTCAAATGTAATGAGCACAAGCTTCCTTAGAAATCATGCTGATAATTATTAAGCCCTGAATATAATTGTAACATTTACCTTGTACCACTGGCTCAGGAGCTGGCACAGTGACTGCTGGGACTTCTGCTTCTGCTTTTTCGGTAATTTCTAGAAGAAACAGGATAAAAATTAATCTTTTATCAAGCAATGCCCCTGAGAAATACCTGAGAGTTATTCGTAAAGATACAGTATTATTCAGTTTCAGTGTGCAAACTGTTAAAATGTTTTGGCAGTCAGACAGGAAAAACACAGAACAATGATGCTGACTGTATAAAATTTGAGTTTATAAAAATCACTTCCCTTTTCAGCAATAACATTTTCGAATACATCAGAACCACCTACAATTTAGAAGCTTATTTGGAAAAGATTAGAGATTTCACTAAAATAATATGTAGGGTTGCACTGTAGATAATGATGCAGCCAAACCAAAATGAAAAACAAGTAGAGGTAAAGAATTGTTGAGAAATTTATCCTTCAGTATATTGCTGAATTGCTATGTGACGTATTGTGTTGTATCCAGGCAATGATGGATTATTTTTAAAATGGGTAAAACAGCAGAAAAGACCTCTAAAACTGACCACATAAATGCATAGCTGTTTGTACATTGCCCAGCGTCACTTTTAGTGAAACAGGTTAATGCAATTAATAAAATGGTTATAAAGATTTATTCTGTTAATGAAATACTTACGGTTGTTCATTACAAGTCCGGGGAATGGTCTGTTGGAAAACAATGTAATATTTCAATACGCAGAAATAATTTATTTAATCCCAATTTCCACTGATGACTTCCAGGAAAGATTTTAAGTGTCTGATTTTTAGAACCAATATAAGCCCTCTTAAGCTTCAAAAACCGTGTGATTTTCTTCTTCTATGTTACTTTAATGCAGGCTTCCTCAACCTGATGCCCTCCAAATATGTCTGACTGTAACTCATACCCAGCCACCAATCAGAGTGTGGAAGAGTGGTTAGTGTGTGGGACTAGGAATGTGGACACCCAGGTTCCTATCTCTGCTCCGACATAAAATACCCTGGGTGACTTTTAGCCTAACATACCTTACAGGGTTGTTGCAAGTATAAAATTGAAGGGGGATAATGTAGACGGCCTTGAGCTCCTGGAGGAAAGGCGGGATATAAATGCAACAAATAGTTCAATTAATGGAATCTAGAAACTTCAACTGTGCTCTACCAATTCTATAATTCCTAAACCATTCAGCAAGTCCAATAAGAAATATTCAACATAAAAAATACACAACCGCAGTTTTGTACTTTCACACCCAGTTCAAACTAATAATCATTGTATTTCCTGCTTTATTGAATTCTGTTTAATTCTTCCACTTTTAGCATATTTCTTTCAATACCTAATACTTTACCTATATTTATCCTTTTTTTTTCTTTACTATATCTGAATGCCGATCGCAAGCATTCCAAAATTCTATTTCTGTCTCTATCCAGGACAAATCTCAAGGAACAAAATACTTATCTCTGCTACTGAAAATATCTCCTCAAATCAGTTGTCCTTTGTCTTAAATGGGGATGAGAGAAGAAACTGTCACCCAAATTCTTACTATATTCTCTTCAAGATGGGTTTATAAAGCATTTTAACCATTATACCAAAGAGTTGAACTTCCAATTCTGCATTATTTAAAGTAGTTAGAAATTACAGGCAATTCTCAACTTATGACCACAACTGGGACTGGAATTTCCATTGCTAAGCAAAGCAATTTTTAGTTGTGCCCAATTTTATGACCTTTTTGCCCCGGTCACTAAGCTAAACATTGTAGTTGTTATACGAATCATATGGTCATTAAGAGAATCTGGTTCCTCCCCCCCCCCAATTGACTTTGCTTGCCAGAAGCCTTCTGGGAAGGTCAAAAATGGCGATGATGTGACCCTGGGACACTGCAATTGTCCTAAATACATGCCAAGTCTCTGAATTTTGATCACGTGTCTGTGGGGATGCTGCAACAGTCATAAGTGCAAGAAGTGGTTGTAGGTCACCTTTTTTCAGTGCCGGTATAACCTCAAATGGTCACTCAATGAATGGGTGTAAGTTGAGGACTACCTGTAATGCCTAAGAATGTGAACTTCCAGGGAAGAGGCAGAAACAAACTGTTCATCTCCAGGCCAAGCCTCAATATAGAGAACCTTCCCGCCTGATCTTTCAACACTTCTTAGATTTGTTTGACCGTGGGCCAATTGCCTATGCAGTCACCACATCCTCTTTCAAGAGTTCGGTAGAAGCCTGTGGTACTGAATGCAATCGAGGCTAGAAAAAGACAAGGTGGGCACTCTTAACACCCTGCCTGACACTGGAAAGAGGGCTGGCTTTTCCCAGCTGTGAGGGTGTTGCGGGCCCAACCCAACACCCAGATCTGCAACAGTTTCTTTCAACACACAATTAAATTATGTACACTAAATACTGTATTGCTGAAAGTCACATACCTAATGACAGTAAATTTAATAAACTCCGCGGAATCCAGAATCTTCCTCATGGAACTGATTTCAAGATAGCTGGGAGCTTTAAAAGATACACCAGGGGGCATTCCATCCACCACCACACAGCCAGGGTTGACCGTGATTTTTCGGTATGGGACTTTCACAGGGTATCCCATGCCAATGGCTTCCCCTACAGAAGAGAAAAGGGAGCTTAACAAAGATGGCAAGTAAAGGATTCTGGGTTCAGAGGTATAGGTAGTCCTCAACTTATGATCACAATTGAGCCCAGAATTTATGTTGCTAAGTGAGAAATTTGTTAAGTGAGTTTTGCCCCATTTTACAACTTTTCTTGCCACATTTGTTAAATGAATCACTGCAGTTGTTAAATTGGTAACATGGTTATTAAGTGAATCTGGCTTCCCCATTGACTTTGCTTGTCAGGTTGCAAAAGATGGTCACATGACCCTGTGACATTGCAACTGTCATAAATATGAACCAGTTGTCAAGCATGTAAATCTCGTGATCATGTGGACGCTGCAACAGTCATAAGTGTGAAAAATGGTCATAAGTCACTTTTTTTAGTGCTACTGTAACTTCAAACGGTCACTAAATAAAATGTTGTAAGTGGAGGACTACTTGTACTTCTTGAAATGTGTACATAATTCCTTGGGAACAAGATGATAAAAATGCACGAGGAATAAATAACATATTTGAAATATAACTGCATAGTAGTTATGAGAAAGAACAATATTGTGAGAAAAAACTTCAAATGACTATTTTTACATAACAAGGAACCAAATATTCCTTTAATTACCTACTTTGTTCATTCAAGGTAGTAATAGTGTGGCTTTTTTTTAAAAAAAAACCCCTCACATGACCTATTAATAATTTAAAAAATATTTAAATCTTGATCAAATCATCATGCACACGTTGTTTCTATCGTGACAGTCAAAGAAATGTTTTTATGTTTTTGAACTTCAGGATCAGGAAATGAAAGCAAGAACTTCTGTCTACTATTTGCTTCTCAGCAATTCTTATTTTTGTTTAGAGGAACACTTGCTTTTAAAAATGTAGTTATCACAGCTCATATTATGAAAGATCAAAATCTTTTAAATTATGTACACTTTGTGTCAAACAACACTCTATCTTAATTATACACTGTATTTCGAAGGATTTTCTTCTCCTGTGCCGAACAGGACTGTCGGATGGAAGTCCTGTTCCGTTTGGAATGGCCAATGGCTGCGAGGGAAATGTCTCCCCAGCTCTGGCATATCCTCCCCAAAGTGCTTTTTTGCCTGGTGCCTCTTTCCTAACCCCGGGTCTATTCCTTTTTATTCCCCAAAGCTTTAATCTTCATTTTTTATTTGCACTGTGATAATATTTCTGCTGGAGATGTGTGGCTGTTTTCTTCGATTGCTGTTTTACACAAGTTGGGTTAGGATTTCTTTTAAGAGCTAAGAAAACCTAGCTACAGTCTTAAAAATTATTTTGATACTAGTGCTTCAGCTTTACTTCTGTTTTCCAAAGTGTTAAAAGTAACCAAGCTAATAATAAAGCAAATTGGGATGGGGAAATCATTGCAAAAGAGAGCAAGAGCCCTGAGCTGCCCTAGCAGCACCAGGTGCTTCCTGGTGGGTAGCTCTTGCTCTGTAGGTGGGATTCAATGTAGGGGTGAGACAGCAGCAAGTGCAGTTGAAATGTGTGGGCAGTGAACTAGAAGGCAGCTGGCCGTGAGCATCATCTTGTGAAGGAAAAGGGAGGAGAGTTAAAAACTGAATGTTAGAATTTCTCACGTAGCAGCTTAGAAGAAAATCATGTTACTGCTGCATAGTTCCTCATAGATACAAGCAAGCAATCCTGAATGCCTCACTCTGGTCAATGTTTCATCTATGGTTTCATTGCCACCCTCCATTTTATCAGTAGGTTCAAGCACAGACCCATCTGCCATTTTGGGCAGTGATTTTGATAAGAAATACACCTGATCCCACATAAATCCACCTAACTGTCTCTAAAACCGATTGCTTTTGTAACTAGGAGTAAACTATTCTTTACCACAGAGCATATGTTTTTCCATTCGCATGGACATAGATCCACAGCTGCTTAAAAACAAAACACAAGAATTAAGTTCTTGTTTGTTTACACATTTCCCCACTTCGAAAACGGAGATTGTTTTGCTGTTTCAGCTGCCCTGAGTAGCACAACAATGGATTCAAAGGCCGAGAAGGCTAGAAGGGAGTTATTTTGACTTTCTGTAGAGGAAATGGACAAACCAAATTTTCGACTGAAGAGATCATTCACTTGCTCTCTCAGCTGCCGGGCCTTCTCTACTTTGGAGGTTCTCTCATCGTCATCTGCAAAATGTAAAGATGCAATCACTGTAATTGTATGGGGTTTTTTTTTAATGACTTTTAAAGACTTAAGACAACCTAATGATCAGTCCAAGGGGAACTATTTGAGATTGCTCTATCTTCTGGTAGTGGATGATGCTTTAATCCTGGCCTAGGCGATTTGCTCTTTGGGGCTTGAAGAAATGGAGAGAAGGAAGACCAGAAACACAGAATGTATCCTCTTCACTGCTAAACTGGCAGATGTCCTACTGTTTTGCACTGGAAATCAGAGCAAACAGGGTAAGCTTAAGCCTTAGGTGTGTCCTTATAACAACAAAAACACGAACAAAACTGCCCTCAATAGGAAAAGCAAAACATCTCAATCCTAATTTCCAACCAGTGCCTGACATCATACATATACCAATACCCA